ATGGGAAGCATGCCCACAGCATGCTTGCTTCTATCAAGCACCACACCACAGAACTGTACTACATGTCCAGGCGCTACAGTGTTAAGATACATACATATATATATATAAAGCAACCGCAGTCCCATAAGACCGATAAGTGATGCTGCATCAAAGCAGGGGGGGGGGGGGGGGGGGGGGGGGGGGGGGGGGGGCGGCACCGAACGGACCATCCCATGTACTGGAAGTCGGGCCCGCTTACTTGATCTCGATCGCTTCGACACAGGACTGGCAGAGATAATCTTATGTGTGTATACATTGAATATGAAGAGAGACAATGTGTAGGGGTTAGGCTAACTCAGGTTTAGGGTTTGGGGACTATGTAAGTTATAAGGTTTTCAGGTGTTTATAATGTCAAGAGTTTTAGTGTTACCATATACATATATAGGGTTTGTGTACGCAACCCTAAAACGTAAAACCTTAAATTTGCAACCCTAAGCCCAAAACCCTTAAAACTAAAACCCTAAACCCTATATAAGCCCTAACCCTTTTACAAACCCTAAAGCCTATAGAAACCCTAAGTAAATATTTATTTAAATTCCATGCGGGATGTTTTGCGCTCAAGATTTCTGTTTCTTGTTTTGTTTTCTTGTGCCCCCGGCCCTCGGTGTAAGGCTTTGACTTGTGGTTTTCTATTGTGTGGGTTGTTTTTCACAGAAAACCGCACAGAAAATGTTGCCCCGGAGGCCCCAGAAAATCTTTGTGAATTATTGTGCGTTTGCGTTTGCGCGTTTTTTTTGGTTTATTGTTCTTGCGCAAATCTGGCTTTCCGTGCGTTCTTGCGCAGCACTTTTTTTCCATACAAACAACATTTTTTTCCTCAGCAGTATAGCCACGGGAAAATTCTGGTTATATCTTGCTTCACAAGAAAAAAATTACTGCATTCAGAATCTCCTTCTGCCCAAGTAGAGCAAGTGGTTAGGGCTTTTAGGTTAAATATAGGGTTTATAGGTGTGTAGGGTTTATATAGGGTTTGTAGGGTTTGAAAAGGTTTATAGGGTCATAAGGTTTGCTTTGCACAAGGGGAGGACATTCCTGAGGCCAGCTGATCTAAAACACCAGCAAAACCAAAACAACAGGCACATTAAGCACCCCTAAACCAATACATAAACCCTATGAACCCTAAATTGTGACCGTTTATTAGATTATATATAACAAATTTAAAAATAATTAAATTAATACTATATTAAACCCCGATAAACACTTTCAAACCCGATATAAAACCCTATAAACCCCTATAAACCCTATTTAAACCTGTTAGACCTATAAATAAACCCTATAAACCCTCTAAACCCTCTGAAACTCTACAAACCCTGTAAACCCTGATAAGCCCTAGATACGTCCTATAAAATTATTATATATATACTTCTACTTTTAGTTTATTGATAAACCTACCTATAGCAATCTATATATATATATATATATATTGTATATGTTAATAATGTATATATATATGCAAAAATTAAATGAGTTAAGGTATTTGTCGATAGACACATTCACCTGTGTGCATTCTATACACACAACCAAACACGCAGGCTTTCCAGCAGATGCCGGCATGACCCCTTCGAATTTTCGAATTGGTGCCTCAGGCTGTCAGTTACAGCCCGAAAACAGCGAGGCACACCCAGCCCATCAGCCTAGTATACATCGCGGCTGTGATGCATCAGCACCAAACATACACAAAAATATGGAGGCACAACCTGAGCGATCCTCCTTTTCCTGGTTCCCTCTACCCCCTTGTTGATGGTCCATTAGCGATCCCTTTTTCTCACCCCTGAAAGCCAGTATCAAGGATGTTGCTGGCATGGATACACACCATCTTCGAGACAAGTTTTGTGATTGATATTACCAGGGCTTGAGTGTGCCATTCGCGTTCATAGAAGTGCTGGGCCTCTCTCACCGGAAATCAGCCAGGAATCACTGTTCACAAAGCACGGATAGCTTTTATATCACATTACCATCGCATCCTCTAGCAACACCTTTATCATACAAATGTAAAACACTTGCTTCACGCACATGCAAGGTGAAGAGGTCTGCTCGGTGCTCCGTTCCATGAAAAACCAGGGCACGGATTGACTGCTGCAGGGAGGCCACACTGCCGCAAACTTTTCTCCCCTTCAAGTCGAAGCCACTGCAGTAAGCCAATATCGATTACTGCACAAACATGTGTATAACCCCTCGGGGAGAAAACCCCTCCACTACATTAGAACCCACATAGGCAGGCCTTCGGGAGCTACAGGAAACCCGCAGGTGTCCTTGCTTTGGCTTCACCTTTGGGGACCACGGTCATCAACATATGTGAGAGCTCTTCAGCTCAGGAAGGCACGCTGCGAATCCATAGCACACAGTGAAAAATTAAACACTACAGGACTACAGAACAAAGCCTACCCATTTTGTGTGTGTGGTTGTGCGCATGGTGCCTTTTGCATACATGTATGAGCAACCCACTGTGCACAAGAGTAAAACCCATCAGAACAAACCCAGCTTACTGACTCCCGCTTCGAGACAAAAAAATCCTGAAGACATGGGTCAGCATATAAATTAATACTTGCATGTCTCAAGTAGTCCAACACTTCGCCATCTCAAGCTTCAAGCCAAACAGAGTTTGTCTTAAGCAAGTAGCAGCGTTCAGAGTCGGGCTCATGACCCTTGTGACTCGATGGGCCGGCCACCGCACTATGACTAACAAACCCTGGCCTACATCATACGGGCACAGACACCCAGCACCATGAACGACTAATCAGGCCCCGAATTCACATTTATAATGTTTTTTGGTCTGAACCCAAAAACCCCCGTACCAAAATAAGGAAATACCCCTGTTTATATGAACATGTTTCTGCGTGTGTATAAATTTCCTGTACTGAGCAACGAAAAAAAAACCTGAGAAAACTCCAGACACATCGAACCCAGAAGCACACCCTACAACAACCCCCCCTCAGCCTACGATCCAAAGTAACTGTACATTGCGCAATGGCGCACATCCTGAGACATTCCGGGAAAGACATCTGCCAATTTCCTGGCAAGGCCACGGGAGGCCTTAGTTAGTTTTGTGGGGAAACTTACTAGAACCACGGGGTACATACTTTTACATGAGACAGTGATGCAGAGGAAGGGGAGGCTACGTATGTACACAGACCAAGGCCCAGTCGGCGATGGCCTCAATCTATTCCATGGCAGACGATCGCTTGACACCACGTTGTTCCACATGGTATCGGGCCAGCGGCTTCCCGACCGCCCGAATTTCCTGAGACGGACATCTTTTTGCCACAGCCAGCACAAACCAAAGTCCTATCATCACAAAATGGCAAGACTTAAGAAAAACCATTCGAAGCCCTTCCTTGGTAATCCCTGGCCCAAGTCCAATTTCTGCGACATGTCTTTGCTGTTGCTCCAGAAAGTACTACGTGTTTAGGCATGATTCGTGGAACGGCCGTACTAAGCGCAAGCCAGTACAGCTTGTATCCCAATGGTGCATGTGTGTGCGTGTGGGCATGTACACAAAGCCACTATATATATAATATATGGGGATTAGGGGAGAGGAGGAGAGGAGGAGAGAGCGAAGAGAGAGGAGAGAGGAGGAGAGAGAGAGGAGAGAGGGAGAGGAGGAGGAGAGGAGGAGAGGAGGGCGAGGAGGGAGAGGAGGAGGAGGAGAGAAGAAGGAGGAGAGAGAGGAGGAGAGGAGGAGAGGGGGAGAGGAGGAGAGGAGGAGAGGAGGAGAGAGGGAGAGGAGGAGAGAGGGGGGAGGAGAGAGGAGGAGAGGAGGGAGGAGGAGGGAGAGGAGAGGAGGAGGAGGGAGGGAGAGGAGAGGAGAGGAAGGAGAGGAAGGAGAGGAAGGAGAGGAAGGACGGAAGAGAGGAAGGAGAGGGAAGGGAGGAAGGAGAGGAAGGAGGAGGAAAGGAGAGAGGAGGAGAGGAGGAGAGGAGGGAGAGGAGGAGAGGAGGAGAGGAGAGAGGAGGAGAGGAGGAGAGGAGGAGGGAGGGGAGGAGGAGGAGGAGGCGGAGGAGAAGGGTTTGTGTGGGGGTTTTGGGGGGGGTTTGGGGCCGTGGTTGAGGAAATTGCGAAAGAAAGGGACCCCAACCCACCCCTAACCCCCCCAACCAAACCCCACCCCGGCTGGAGCAGATCTTCCCTCCCCTCCCCCCCCCACCCCCCCCCCCACCCCCCCCAAAAAAGAAAAAACCATGATGCGCGCGCGCGCGCGCGCACGCATCATTGTTTGGCGCCACGTTTTGGCGGCGCGCGCGTACATTGTTTTTTGGCGCCGAAACGAACACACACCCAACAACAAAATCCAGCCGTACGCTCCATTATTGCCTCCCCCCCCCCCCACAAGCCACGTCCCCGTGCCTGAATCCCCCCCACCCCCCCACCGCAAGCCCCCACAGCCCGCCAGCCCGCCCCCCCCACCAGGTGCGCCACTCCACGAAATTTGAATACCTTCAAAAATGCCACTTTGGCTACATGGACTTTGGCTACATGGGGGGGGTGGGGGGCGGGCGGGGGGGGGGGGGGGTGGGCGGGGGGGCGGGGGGGTGGGGGGGTGGGGGGCATGGGGGGTGGGGGGGGTGGGGGTGCTCCTTCTGTTCTTTGTTTCTTTTTCTTGATCTTGATATATTTTATATTTCTCTTGATGTGTATAGGTAGAAAGGGGGAGACGTGTATGGTCCGGCTCTCTCACACTCTTTCGTTTATATAGCCCAGGTACCTTGATTTGCAAGAGCACAGATTTTGTAAATTATACGCCAAGTCACTGTGGTGATGTATTTGCAAAAAAATCTCCACATGTGAAGGTGCCTGAAAAGACTGTTTGCAGGCTGCTCCAATAGGAAGCAGCAGCCCAGTGCTGCCACCATCCAAGCCAGGAGGATGGTCCTGACAATACAAGCTTTGGTTTTCTTAGCTAATAACTTCTATAGACTTCATCTATATAGATACTTCTCAAACACAAGACATCTCATCAGCATTCAGAGGCTCCGAGCCGCCATTTTGTTGCTCAGCGCAACCCAAGGCACATCATGACAGCGGCCAGCCGGGTTTTCAAAGCTGCGCCCAGATTGGCTCACACACATAAATGTAAATGATGAGCACACAGGAGCCAGGACTGCCAACGAGTTGGTATCCATGCGCAGCACACCCAGCATAGCCAGCCTCAAAAGAGCCATGAGCACCATATCAAAACTAAAGCTTTTCCGTGTTAGGGTTTAGAGGGTTTATATAGGGTTAAGAGTTGGTAAGGTTTCATTTTCTGTTGCATCCCCACACACACAGCCCAGCCCATTCGAAGCACTAAGTCGGGAAGAGCTGAACCATGTATAAACTTACCATCCCATGTATTGAACAGGGCACCCCATTCCAGAGGGGGTCATAATGTCCATTGCCCTGCTGCCGCCCTGATACTTGATGTCAAAGCTGACCCCAGGTTGCTGAGCATCATGTAGCGCACGGCTCACCTGCGCCTCTCCTGCGAAGAACTCGCAGAATTTCCACACCTGACTGCCCACTCGAAGATCAAATTCAATTGTACATATGTAGATTTTTATACTTGTCTCCATGTTAAAAAAAATCTTGTATCTGAAAAGATCTCTTGTTTTCGATAGATTCATAAGGAGGGGGTTGTTCGTAGTTTGCATCTTGCACACCCTTAGATATGCACAAACCGCAGGCAAGAGACTCTGCCAACATCGAGCTTCTGATTGCACAAGAGGAGGAGCCCACATAGCACAACCACCTAGGACAGGGTGTGTACTTTGGATGTGTATAACCGTATATCTATATACAGGTATATATGTGCACACAGTATTGAAACCATATATATATATACATATATATATACACACTCACACATATGTGCACGTTATCTCACAAAAGGGTTTGGCGCGTGTGTCTCTGTGTGTTTGTGTGTGTTTGACAAGGAACCCTAAACCACCAGACCTGTGAAACCCCTCGAAACCTCCCCTTCCCCCCCTCCAGAAGCATACTTGTGCAGCCCCGTGGCCCTTGGCATCCGCGCTGCGTAGCAGCGCTGCACGAACAAGTGCACCGACCATTGCACCATGATTACACTACAGGACCTTGTTGCAGCAGTTAGAGACCCACACGCAGTTTGAACAAGAAACTGCCATTTGAACACACAACACCCTCCCATTCCAGAACCAATCCTCTACGAATGTTAGGATTCCATGGTGTATACAGAACCCGTTTTCTGACACCACACCCAACAGATCCATCGCAACCCCACAGAGTCTCCAGAAACACGCCAGCCACACCATCATCGATTTCATTCTCGGCCCGCAGACACTTCAGCAGGTTTTTGCAGCCCCGTGGCATCGCCCACCATCCAGCCTTGTCTTTGCATGGGGTTTGGCAGTATATTGCATTACACGTCTGTAGGGGCCCCTTCTTTCAAAAACTCTGGACTGAAAATAGACTGAACCTCAGTGTTGGGTTTATTAAGGAGGCTCGGTGTATCGATAACCCATTATATACACACATACACAAGTATATGCTCACTACATGTATTTACAGTCAAAAATGTATGTGTATATATATATATAGATATAGATACATATGTCCATACGTATGTGTGTATGTACATGTGTGTGTGTCTGTGTTCACAAAGCACTATATGGAGCAGGAGGTGACCCTGACTCCTGTTTTCAACCAGCACCACGAAGAGGGCACTTGAATTTGCACGGTCCAGCAGTCGATGAACATTCGAATTGGTCAGCCCTAGCAGACCCCATCACACAGAACTACTCTGCTCGGAACCAGACATGCATATGTGCGCAGAGCATTGTCCATATAAGCAACAAGGTTTCTCATTCCGAAAGCTGAAGCCTCCACAGGCATAGCCACACACACACATGCCTCAAGCAGCACAAGTGTGGCTTGCTTTCTTGCAAGATCCTTTCACCACCAAAAACATGCTCGAATTGTCTCAGGTCTCCTGCACCTGCAAAGACCCAATATCAAGACTGTTGCGATAGACACGAGATCACTTTCACCACACAGACCCACACCAACCACTGGCACGGGCTTTCTATAGGCCTGGTCTAGGTAGACATGGGCTTCCCGGGCAGCACACTTCATCAGATCCTTCTGCTGCACATTCTCGACTTTGAAGGTGCTCATGCAGTGCTTCCAGAACGTATCCTGCAGCAGTGCTCATTTCACTCGAACAGTGCAGTGTGAGTTTGAAATACGAGCGAATCCATAGATATCGTGTATGCTATAAACACACATACATACTACATCACCCCAGAAAAGATAATAAGTACATACATACCTATGGAAAATATGCATGTGTGTGTGTGCATATATGTGTATATACATATATCTCTATATATATATATATACATACATAGATATAGATATATAGGTTTAGGGTTTAGGGTTTATAGGGTTATAGGGTTTATAGGGTTTAGGGTGTAGGGCCCATAGACACATATAATGGCCAGCGGTGCGCCTGCCGGGGCAGGGACAATGTTTTGAATTTGATGTGTATAAATATAAGTACATATATAAATATAAATATAAATATATATATATGTATCCGTGTACATATCTCTCTATATATATACACATATATATATATATACATATATATAGATTGCGCGTGTGTTCACACGCCAGAAATGCGCCCGCCGGAGCAGGGTAATACTGATCATACACACACACATATATATATATATGTTTCTATATATATATGTATGTATATATACATATATGCTCTTATATGTATACATATATATGTATACATATATATATATATATCCATACATATACTCTTGCCGAGGACACATACGGATATCTTGTACATATACATATACATATTTGAATATATATATATATATGTTAATATTTATAGACCCATACATATATGTATTGTTATATCTCTGCATATGTATGTATGTGCAAAAGTACACACATGTAGATATGTAAATATGTTTTGTATGTATATATTATTGCTGAGACACAGCCCCCCATCGCAGCCACGAGCACGGACTCCAGCACGATGCCATTCACCTGAGCTGATGAGTTTATTTTATTCTGTACACAGACTTGGAAGGGTACCAAACATATATACAAAGATTTAATCATCGACCACCGGAGCGGCGCAGTGTACATTTCTATTATATATAGATAGATGTATATAAATATATATTATTTGTTTCATCACCCATCCCATGTTACTGTATATATATATACACATACATTCTAGTGGGAGCTCATAGACCACCAGAGTGGTACTCCGATGCCATCTCCTATAGTGTTTGCTTTACATTGTTGTCTTCGTGCAACCCTAAGCTTTGCATGCCTTTCACACACACACACACGCACGCACCAACACAAGGGGTCCTCGTGAGATGATGGACTCCGCAAATGGGGGCGAAGAATCATAATGAAGGCATCTCTGATGGCATGCCATCTTGCAGTTGCATAGGGCTTTTGCGTGGGACACGTACGACGCGCAAACGATGGCACATACCCTTCATCATCTGGCTTCTTTCTTTTGCGAGTCTTCTCACCATGCACACCCCCGGGCTCCCCACCACCCCCACCCACGGCCACCGCCTTTGAGGTTGTCTCTGCAGCATCAGGCCTCACAGCAGGGGCGGCCTCATCACTGGGGTCACTGGGGCCTGCCGAACCAGAACCCATGTCACCACCTGCCACACACTCATCATGCGCAGCAGCCTCAGCAGGCGTGGGCTGAGACTTCGCTTTTCTCTTGGGCTTCTTGGGTGCCTTTGGCTCAGCTGGGCTCTTCTCCTCATTCTCCTCATTAGCTTCACTTGCCTTTTTGTCCTGACAGCTCACCTTTGCCTTCGCCTTCGCCTTTGCTTTGGCTGCTGTTTCCTTGGCCTGCTTCAGAGCCCTTTGATGGTTTCGGTCAACACATTCGGTGGGCTCCGAAGGATTGGGCCTCCAAAGGCCCAGGCTGTACAAGCGTTGCTTGCTGTCATCATCCTGTGTCACATCCTCACCACCATCTGTCTTGCGCTGGTTCAGAAGCGCTTCATACTTTGCTTTCAACGCCAGTTTCACACCCTCTGCGCCACCTGAACCCTCTACCATTGCTTGGGCCACACCCCCCTGCATAGGAGACTCAAGCTGGCCCTCAGTTGGCAGCACCTGAGCTGCATGATCTGCAGCCTTTGCCTCAGACATGACATTGTCTGCCGCATCAGGAACCACATGGTTCGCCACCACCCCTTCCTTGGCTGAGTTGAAGAAACCTACAAAGTCTGAATAAAGTATCACATACATGTACACATGTATTCCTTGTGTCAGAGCTCGAACAGTGCAGCAGACCGACCTGGCCCTCCAAAGTCCATTCAGTGAAACTCTGTGTGTGCGCACATGTCTCTGTGTGCGTGCGCGAATGCATGGGCACCTGCACATGGGAAAACTACCCCTTACTCGACACCGTTCCCCCAATGAACACACCACACCACCAGCTTGTTTCAAGCCACACCATTGAGCAGCGCAGGAGCAGGATCCATTGCAGGCGGCAATGCCTGTAGCGCATACTTTCACTTGCATACTTTCAGATACCAGGTGCACTATACACACATACAAACCCTCAGTCAGCTCTCCCGTCAAATCTGTCAAAAGAGCCCTAGCACACAGGAAGCTTGAATACCCTGCACATACACACACCCAGACCCCTCCCACCTTCTCATCATCATCATCGTCGAGTTCCACTACGGAGCATTGCCTCACAACGGCAACGCAATCAATATATAAGTCATAGATATTTATATGTACATAAACCTTGCGTTGCCTATATAAAGCCGGTAGAAACCCTTAACCCTTTGTAGGTTTATAGGGTTTATAGGGTTTATGGGGTTTATATATAGGGTTTCTCGAGTTTATAGGGTTTATAAGGGTTTGTAACAACCCTATCAGTTTTAGGGTTGATAAAGCATATATATATATATATATCTTCATATCTATTTATCTATCTATCTATCTATATGTATATATATCTATAGGGTAGAAACCCTTTGAACCTCTAACCAGAATCTTACCCTGGGGTGCCAAGGGGCAGAAGGGGGCGGGGGGGGAGGCACATATGTCGACAGAACCCCTTACAAAGAAGAGCACAGCAATGTATCTCGGCCAAGCCACGTCTCCATCATGAGCATTCTGTCCGGAATTCCATCCCATGGAAGCGTCTCCAAAGAATCGGGGTTCGAGTGATTGGAGTTTTCCGATAACCTGGTGTACAAGGCTGAGGGAATTTAACAGGGTTTTGAACAGGTTTACAGTGTTTAGGGTGGGTGTAGGGTATAAAGAAACCCCCTAAAAAGGTACCACAATTTTGAAAACCCCATATGTGTGTGTAGGATTTTTCCGGCGTCTCGTGAATATGAGGGTGTGTTCTAGGGTGAGACACGTTATATTCATGTTTCGCCCCCACCCCACTCACCCACCCACCCACCCACACCCCCCACAACATACCCCTGTGTAGTCACGAGATGACATGCAGTGATGGCTCAATCAAAAATGGATAACACTAAGTATATAACACACAACATATACGATAATGCATGTACATCGCTTGGCACGTGCACCTCCAATTACACGCAAAGACACCACATTGTCCCATGTGCAGAGCAGGTCACTGGCCGAAGCTCGGGGTCCGAATGGCCTTCTGCTTCAAAGCTGTCTTGATGCTGATGAGGCTCGCATGAAGCTCGGCCACACGGCCTCCGTTCCACACACACTGAATGAGCACACCACTCTTTCTCCTAAACGAACACTTTCATAGGGAGACTCTTCAGTGTTCTATGCCCAGGGATTCGGGAGTGCGTACCTCCACAAACATCACTTTCCACATCCACATCCACCATGAGATGCTTTGCCCTTTCAAGCAGAGGCTTCTTCAGCACAGCCTTCGAGACCTCTTGTCCTGGCCTGGATACACCCTGTGCTTCCTTGTTACCTTCAGCACCCTGTTGGGGCGGGATCACAGCCCAGGGAGGCACAGGTGCCTGTGCAGAATATGCTGGCGGGAAGACATTAGGCCTCACAGGAGATT